TTGACTCATTTAAGTCCAGGCTCAAAACCCACTTTTATTCATAAGCGTTTGAGTCCCCCTGATGTGGTTTTCCCTTTCTGTTGTGTCTCTAAATGTGTGTGCTGTGTACCTGACAGTTATGTTACCTCTCGTATGTGTTTTTTAGCATTTTATTCCTTTTGTTAAGTTTAGTTGGGTTGATTTGAATCTTTTGTCTGGGACAGCCCAAAATCTAAGAGTGTATACCGGGCTTAACGTAATGAAACGTCACATGACATACATCACACACTTCACATGACCTCATCATAGGCACTGACAAAGCGTCGGTAATTGACGACTTGGGAGTGAGACCGGGTTGTTTAGCTAGAAAAAGGAGCACCGACTCCAGTCTATCCCTTTTTTCTTTCTGTATGTTTATAAAGCCTCAGTATGAGTGATTTTTTTAGCTGCAACTGAAACAATTTCATCTTGCACTGACACGTCTTAATGCCAGGCTGCGCTGCCTTGTGTGAATTTGAGTCTAATGGTTTATTTCCATTCCACTTCCAATCACACAGGTCTAAAATTCGCCTCACGCTCTGTCTGAACACTAAATGAGTCTTGTTTAAATTATGATCAAGATATTTTCGAATCAAAGAGAGTACAAAATGTCCTGTAAGTGTTGAGACTTTGAATCTGCCGAACAACTTAACAGATACTATGAAGTTTAAGAACTACAAAACTACAAGGTGCCGTTAACCAAAAGAAATGAATAATCCATTTTGATCCAAAGGGTTAATCTGATATATTTCACTATATCTACACTATGCAAGAAATTTTTATCCAACCAATCTTAAAATGTTTCAAAAGAAGTTGGCAAAATATCTTTTGCACAATGTGTCATTATTGTCACTCTTTTGTTTCCAAGGTCAATATAAAACCTTCAAGCTCAACTGGTTACTTTTTTTTAATGAAGCATAATATTTGGCTAGATTTTAGTATTTCCTCCCGTCACTAAATATTTCCTTGCATTCATCAGGAATAAGAGTACACCGAGTGAGGACACCGGGAACCTTCACTGCAAACAGTTTGAGCGCATGCCCGTTCAACACGACACTGCCTCTTCACAAATCAAGCCTGAAATATTCCCTCGTGTTGACCACTCACTTCCTTTACCTGCGCAAAGCCTGAGACAAGATGCTGATTGATTGCTGTCAGCAGGGGAGCAGAGATGAAAATATCTACAGTCCGGAGAAGAAGAAAAAAAAAGGAAGAGGCTACAAGCACAAGACGAACACACACACACACACACACACACACACACACACTAGACTTCAACATTTAAATTTGTGCTACCTCGGTTAACCTGAGGAAGGTTATGAAACTTGTGAATGTTGTGACTAAATGGCTGTTAACTTGTTGGTGACATCGTCTTCTTGAAATGTCATCAATAACTGTTAAATGTTTCCCTGCCGTTTCTCCACTTTTAGTTTAACATCTTTATTTCCTGGTTCAACAGCTTGTTTCTGAATGGTAGTTTGGAGATGTTGTGTCACAGACGGGTAAAGTTTACGGATATGGAAATCTACAATTCTCTGGGTGTTGTCTGTGATGTGTGATTGATTGTCTGAGGTTACTAATCAGCTGGATAGGATTGGCAGAATGGCTGACTTGTGTGTTGTGCTGAACAATGCAAAGACTTTGACCCTTGGCTGGATTTTTTTATGGTGACAAATCTAGACCAACTAATTCTATTTGAAGACGAGTTAAGATATTTTCATGCAGTGTGCAATTTATCCAGGAGTCAACACAAAACTAACTGGGCTGGGGTTTTCTGACTTTGGACTTTGACTTTGGACTTGGGCATGCATGAAGAAATGCAGCCCTCTAACTCATTTGAGTAGAGTCGGTCTGTTGATTTTGAGGGGGTGCCGACAATAGACGTAGCTACTGTGATGTCACCGATTGCTTTGTGAACACTTGTTTTGAAGCCTTGAGTTTGGCCTTTTGGCTGTTGCCATCACTGTGGCCATATTACGATGAGAGGGTGGAGCTTCGGAGGAGCAAGATGTGGATCTGACTCTGAAGCTGAGGTGTTGCCAAGTAGAAAGCCTGTCACTCAAAGTATTATTGGAATCCTTAATCATACGTAATTTCAAGCCTTAATAAAAATGTGAACAGGTGACAAAAAAATTCACCCCCCCCCATACAGTTGAATGAATGATTGAATGAATGGGGATATGAGCGATAAACCTCTTTTTTGTACCAGGCTGTAAACATGTTTATTTCTGCTGGAAAGCTGAGCTTTTTAATACGGGGGTCTACAGGGATTGACTCATTTCCAGAGCCAGCCTCCTCTGGCCTTTCGAGGAACTGCAGTTTTTGGGACTTGGCATTGGCCTAATTTTTCAGCCTCAGGGGATGCAGCTTGGTGCCTGTGCAGAGGGCTCTGGCCAAATGATGCAGGGTCATCTGGAAAAGAGGCAAATAGGTTCAAATGTTGCTGCAATTCAACAACATTGAGCTTAGCACTGCACTGGCTAATCACATACATGCAAGTGCACATTTCTGGTGGATTACTTTGTAATGTGAAGGCTCTCTTCCTGCTGTTTACCTCACTATTGTCATGACAAAAGATTTAAAACAAAAAGTTGCCACTGCCATGACTTTATATAGTTGCAAATAGCTGGCTGTATCATAAACTGTTGTGCAGAATTATGGCGTCTGGTAAGCCTTTACATTAGGGCTGCTCCATTACGGAAAAATTCATAATTAGGATTATTTTGGTCAATAGTGAGATCATGATTATTTAACACGATCGCTCATTGGCCAAAGGCTGAGAGTGAGTTTGGGCTGTAAGGGAAGGGCAAAAGCCCACAGCTGTATTTTTAACACTACGATGGCATCACTGTGAAACGGAATGCAGCACAACAGTTGTTTTAACTTGATTATCTTGTTTTAATAAGCATTGGAAGCTAAAGGCAGCGCAGTCGTGCAGTGGTTAGCGGTGTTGCTTCACAGCAAGAGGGTTCCTGGTTCAAACTCAGGGTGGGGAGCCCTTCTGTGTGGAGTCTGCATGTTCTCCCCGTGTCAGCGTGGGTTTTCTCTGGGTACTCCAGCTTCCTCCCACAGTCCAAAGACATGCAGGTTAATTGGTGACTCTAAATCGGCCGTAGGTGTAAATGTGAGCTGTCTGTCTGTCTCTATGCATTAGCCCTGCGACAGTCTGGCAACCGCTTGCCAGATGACAGCTGGGATAGGCTCCAGCCCCCTAACAGGATAAGCGGCTACGGAAAATGAATGAATGAATGAAACTGAATGGAAGCTAAAATTCGTAATCCAGCCCCACTTTAAATGCATGGTCTGTTTCTCCAACTGGACTGCCTGGATTTCATGTCATCCTTTTTATGTCTCAGTGGTATCTTAAACAAAATGGCACTAAAACACGCAGCCCCCTGCAGTGCTGTTTTCAGTCTGAATACATATTAACAATGGCTTTATCATCTTCCTACATAGATAGCTACCTAGCTGTCATGAAAACATCAAGTTATGTGCTCCTAGCACCTGATAGCACTACTGAAAATACATGCAGTTTGTTTTAAGATAGGGCCATAAAATATTTTTAGATACGATGACAGAGAGAGTTTTCAGATTCTACTATCCTGATGTGATACCCAACATGGCACTTGTTGATAATGTGAAGTCAACAAAGTGCACAGAGCATTCAAACAGTTATTAACATATTTCAGACAGCTTGTGTGTGACCCTGTAAACACACATGAAAATCCAACGTTTGCCTGACTTGACTTTTCAAAAAATGCTCGGTGCCTTTTCAGATTCATAACATTCATTGTGGGCACAACTCCTGCGTAGCTTCAGGCGCAGGGAAGTCATAGCAACAACAAGAATGGTGAAAAGCAGAGACGAGCGAGGCTCCACAGGCAGGAGACAAATCCCATTAAAGACATAGGTGAATATCATTCAGGGAACAGAGGGTTACTTTCATAAGCTAATGCTTTTAAATAAACGTTGGGAGGTGAAATGATTCTTTTTGTACTGTAAAACTGAGTTCACATGCACACCGACACTCAACAGTTTGCACTGAGGTTATACTTTAAGACATGGGAGTACAGAGGAGAGAGAAAATCCTCTAACCCTGTTGTGTGGATGTACTGCGTAGGCTGCCAGGGTCTTTTACTCAGGCTCCCAATAATATTGGTTAATTGCTAGATTTCTCTAGCTTCTCTCAACTTGCATCACGAGTAGGCGTGGAAGAGTTTACAGCAGGGGTATATTGCTGCTGACAGAATACAGTGTTCTCATTCTCTCTCTCTCTTAATTGTCATTCCCTGCTCACAGGCACATTTCACTGGCAGATTCCCTTGAGAGAGGTTTCCCCAGAATCTACGTAAAAGGATTCCTTCCCACGCCATGGTCTTAGGAACATCTCATTTTCATCCTCCCGCGCCTTGCTCATGCACACACACACACTCCCTCTCACCCTGGCATTGTGTCCTCGTGTCTCCCTGTTCTCTCACTCTCATGTTTTCATTTTCTTTTTTCTCTCTCTCTCTCTCTCTACACTTTTTAACTTCTCTGGGCTTCTCTCTACCCCCCCTCCTCATATCTTATAGATCCTCCGTGGGAGGCAGCATCTCCTTCACACTGCAGGCGTGGGCCCTTACTCTGACAAATGACATGCCGGGCCCACCAGCTTTGCGTGGGGGGAGAAAAGCTTTAAGTTAAGAAGGAGGAATGGATTTGATTGGATGTTGAAACTCAGGGGCTGTATCTTGGCGAGCAGTATTTGATCGGGCTCAGGCGAGAAGTGAGAAATACAGGGAGAGCGGCGATACTATATCACACCTACAGTATGTTTTAAGAAATAATGACCACAAACCAAACACTACTCAAAATGGTCAAGCTGTCAGCTGCGACAATAAAAATTTATGGTAAATTTATAAACATGTGTCTAGACGGCTTACAACATAAGCTCTTCCTTGTGTTTTGGTCTCATTGATGTTTTTCAGTAAATCACTTACAAGTGTTCCTTGGCTAAGAGCTGGGCCAGAGAAATGGCAGCAGGATCTCGGTCTAGAGCCAGGACTGTGACTTCAGGAACCATATTCAGCATCGCTTTGGTATGACCACCACCTCCAAATGTCATGTCCAGGACCACCTACATGTGAAAAAACAAGAAAACAACACATTCTCCTCACACCAGGACTCCATATACACAATTAATCATCATCTTGACGTCACAATGTTCATTCTTCATTTAAGTGTTTGATTCACAGGAACACAAGTGTTACCTTATATCTGATTTTTCTGAATCCTTTTTATCTCAGGGTACTTAAAGGGACAGTTCATCCCAAAATCAAAAATATGTATTTTTCCTTTTACCTGTAATGACATTTATCAATCAAGACTTTTTTGGTTTGAGTTGCTAAGGAGATATCGGCCAAAGAGATATAATATATAATGACACAATGGAACTAGATGGCACTCGGCTTGTCATGCTCCAGCCCAAAAAAGATCAAACTGAAAAACTCAACAGCAATGTGTCTTTCCAGGAATCAAGAAGAGACTCTGTTTTTTCTAACAAACTACACCAGCTAACAGTATTAATGCGCAGAGGGAAGTGTGCATCTTCTCATGCCCGAAAGGCTCATGCTCATGACAGCGTGGGACGTAAACATTAATGGTGTCCTCCTCGGCTGAGCTGTAACGCTAGTTAGCTCAATGGTGATGGCTGAGCTAACAGTAAATGCACACTTCCTTCTGCGGGGTAATACAATTGACATTTCACTAAGCCCCGCACCTTTGTGATGGTCCGACAAGCTGTCAGAGTAAGCATGAACCCACACTGTAACGAACTGTGTCTGTGTTTGAAGGATATATCCAGGATGTCAAACTGAATCAGCAGCAACAACAGGTTAAAAAGACAAAGATAGTTAGAAGCTAAAGCCGAACTATAGGCTACAGATCACAGTGTAAAAGTGAACCACCACATCACTGCTGATCACCACAGAAGACAATGAATATGTAATATTGAACCAGCTGTGTGGCATCGCAGTGTATGCAGATGTACGTGTTTGGCTTCGCCCCCGTGTTGCTGCCAGCACCTGGACCTCCGATGCCGTACAAGCAGGGATCTCCTCCATGGGAAGTCAAACAACGTTCATATGCGCACACTGTGATGCCACACAGCTGGTTGAATATCAGCAAAGTTTCCCTGCTTCCCTTCACTGGTTCCTGTACAGCAGGGTCGGTCTTTTTCCAACCTCTCCAGGTTCGAGTATCATTAATACACGATGTGCCCCAGGCACAACATTTAGCTCCAAATCCACAAAACCAGCCTGAAAATGAAGGAAATCTGAAACTACTGCTGTGTTGTTGTGGGACCCTGGTCTGAGCTGGCCTGATACTACGTTATGATTGGCCAGTCTATGTCTGGAGAGGGACTTAGCAAAGGGACAGTTTGTGGGGGTAGTTCAGCTAAAAGAAAATAGTCCCTGAATGAAACTGCTCACAACAAGGTCTGTGGATTATCTTGAGTAACCGGGTCATGATTTCTGGAAAGAGATTTGGGGGTTTTTCAGATGTAATTTTTGGGGCTGTGAGCACCACAAGCCAAGTGCCATCCAGGTCCATTATATATAGTGAGCACAGACGTCTCTATGGCTGATATCTCCAACACTCAGCAACTCACACCAAAACAATCTAGACTAAAAAATAGCACTATTGGTTAGAGGGAAAAAATATTTTTTGGATTGTGGGTTGTACTGTCCCTTTAATGTCAACATCAACACTGAAATTATTTCAAACAGACAGGCCTGTAAGTTTAAAGGCTGACTTCCTCAATATATATATAGAGATCGATAAAGAAGGTTGTCTTTGTACTTAAAATACAGAAGTATGATGCTCAAAAATCAAGTATAAATCATTATCATTGTAAATTTCCTCCCAGTTATATTTATTGGACTTGTTTATTGTTTCCAAGTTAAAACTATGACATTCATGTCTGGGCTCATAACAAAATAGAATTTCAGGTTCCAGTGCAACAAAAAAAATTTCAATCAACATATGTTATTGCAATATTCTGTTTAATAGTTACACATCCTGTATGAGAGGCAAACATTAAGGTTAATAATCCTCTAAAATGTCTTTTTATGTTGTTATTTTGTTCTGCCGTTTGACAGATTAAACATTTATTGTGGGAACAGCTCATCCGACAGACAAAAACCCAGTGACACAAGCGGAACATGACAGGGCCAGCATTTATTTAATCGTTACTGAAATTAGCTATAATGTCTTCCAAGTTCTGGTAAATGTCGATTTTATTTCCCTTGTTTTATTCTGAAGTCCCACAGCAGTGTTTCTGCAGGCCAACTAAACCATTATTTATTCTCCCCTTCAGTAACCAAACAAAACAAAACAAATCAGCGGTGAGTATTTCCTTTCACATCCCTTCCTGTTCGACTAAATCTCTCCTGCTTATGAAAACTCAGGGATTCTCTTTTTAGTGATCGTGGTTAATAACGGAAATGCAACCGTACAATGTGATGAATCAATCGATCACCTGCAGAGCTGAATCAGACAGATCCTGATGGATCTCATGACGTGATCAATTAAGTTGTGAATTCATGGTCTGAACTTGCCTGGGAACCAGATGGATCTGGGAGCTTGTGGTTTATTTGCTCTGGCAGATAGGTCTGGTCCTCCCCAGCCTGGTCAGGCCAGTGGCCTCAGATGTGCCTGGCCAATCACAACCGTTTAATACGTAGTGTATTTGAGACGAAGACCATAGAGCAGTTAGGGCATTTTCGATGCAGCTGATGTGGAACTTTCTGTTGATGCTGCTATCACAACAGTACTAAACGAACTGGGAGGTATATTTTCGCTAACTGTACTTTCAACAGGATTTAGCAAAAGATTAATAGACCAACTCCTCTACCTCCACTTTCTGCAAGCTGAGATGAGCATCCAAGTCCCCCCCTACTGTGCTATGATCTGCACCAAGCAGACCTGGTTACTGGTTTCCTAGTGTGAAGACACATGTTGATAACTTGTTGATAAAGCCTCCTGGGTATTAAGAATGACCTGAGAGGTTCCAGACTTGTACGTATTTGTGATTTGATCTGGTGATGTCAGGCTAGGTCTAAAAAGTTAGCTCATTCAACTTTAGTTATGGTGCTCTCTATTTCAACTGCAGTGGTGAACCATCATGGTGCAGGAAACCTGTAAACACACTGTACACTAACTGTCAACTCTTACACTTTCTACAGCTTTCAGGGTTTGTCACATGCTCTCATGCTATTTAGAAAAAAGACTAAACACAAGTCCTTGATAAAAAATATTGCTAGCTAGACATTTTTATACCATAGCAGGTGTTTCAGAATGATAGAAAATTGAATGTCTTTGTCTTTCTTAGAACTTTTAAACGGATACAAAGATTACCCATATGCAATATTATTGGTATTAAATTACTACTCTATGGGAACAGGTCTCATCACTATATTTGGTTTTACTGACCCAAATGTAGCAGAGGAAGAGGAAGTTTGTTTTTTCCAACCTTAGTGAGAATATTCAATTAATTCAATACATAAAGTGTAGAAGAAGTGGTTCCACCTGTTAATTCAGTTTAGTAGAAAATACTGTACGTGTGACCCAGGTTATTTGCTGGACCTAAACACCTCCCATGCAGACTATCCAAAGCTGTTACATTTACCAAAGTTCCCTTAACGTCTCATATGCAGACTTCTGTTACTGTAAGTGACAGAAAGCTCAACAATTCAGCCCGTAATGACAATGTAACACACTGTTTCACAATCAAAGAATACATTAAAAATCCAGCACACTCATATAAGAACAGAGCACTAACAGAACAATAGGTATTGTTTTAATTTATGAACAATCCTCTGACAAAATCAGCAGAGGGAGGCTCGTAGAAACAGCTGCTGCGGCACGTCCTGTGTGACGCATGCACCAGCTATGTCCTCTAATGTTATCCCCACGTGGGGCAGACTTCAATGGAGAGAATAGATTTATTCCAACTAAAGAGAAATGATTAAGCATTTACATGGTTATCAGGCACTAAAATTTTCCTACTGAACATATTATCAAAGGTTCACACCACCAATCCTACTGAACTTTCCTTTGGGGCCAGTCTCTTCTGATTCAGATGGTTACATGAGGCATTGTTATTCTGAATGGGCTATTATTCTGATTATTAGTGAAACAATAGGGTCCATGTAAACACACCTAATGTGGCTAGGGATGCACGATTCATATCGGACACCCGATACAATGTGTGGCAGTACATGTGCTTTTAAACTTGGTTTGTGAGCTGCCAATAAACACAGAGAAGAACAGCAACAAATGCAGCTCGCTGTCAAGAGGGCAAAACATGTCACGGTGTGGACGTCTTTCAAAGTTCCAGAGGAAGACAACAGGATTGTGCTGAGGGTCTCATCTTTAACCGCTCGACACAGGTTAGACAAAGCTGCTAATTAGCAGCAGCGGCTAACATCCAACACCAAGCTTTTAAAAAAGGCTCGACTCTGTTGTTAAACTTATTTATAACCACTAGCCATGTGATGCTATAGTTGGCAGTTATTTGTGTTGTCACCTCTCTGGCTGTGTGTGAAATGCTTGTTTGTCTGAGTTGAGTGTTAATGTGTGAGGTGAAACAATAGCGCATCTCTGTACTGTTTTAGCCTGGAAATCCAGACCCAAATCTAGAAAGATTTAGGGTCTGGCTATGAGTAATGAAAATAGCCCGACTCGAGGGGCAGCACCAAGCATGCATTTGAAAATATCACTGCACGCAATTGGATAACACTACGACCAATCAGAACAACACACGGGGTGACGTATCCAGAGCTTAGCTACCAGCGGAGCTAACTGGTGGAATCTGGTCAAAACAGCAAAAACGTCCTTCTTGCAAAGGAAAGACTCGAGCGCCGTCTTCTGTTCCTCTTTTAGAGAAAAAGCCAAGTCTAACTCCTTCATTGTAGCGGCCAAAGCCGTTTCAAACAACTGGTGTTCATCCGTAGCCATCTTGCAATGTTTACTGACTGATTCCGGACTCGGTCGTCGCAGCGCTGTCATCATCTGTTTAGCTCGCCTCTGGCCCGCCTATATCAGATACACCGATGTGATTGGTGCAGCTCAGCT